TGGGGCTCCTCCCGTCCTCTTTTTTGCTTGCTGAAATATGGTAACCCTACTAATGGTACCTTTAATCTAGCTAGTGCTGGAAACACAGTGTAGATGTGGTGTCACAGGCTTCAGCACAGGTTAGCAACTAGCCTACAAACCCACTGGGAATCCTGCATAAGTGCTCTGGTTGTTAGCCCATGCCAAAGCCTGTGCAGTCACATTTACACTGTTACCATTACCTGGGCTAGCTAAATTAAAGCTAGCATGGAGGTGCCTACCTGTGCTACAACCACACCTTCACTTGCAGTGTACCCCAAAATCTCACGCCAGGGTCTATATCTTAGACTCCAACAGCTGGTTTGAAACTGCAGGGCACAGCAATTGTTAGTACAAGTGTAGTCTGACACCCAGTGGTTTTACAAAAACAACTAGTGGATAAAATTAATGATCTAACTAAGTGATAATTGCTGGAGATCCAGTTCTTACTTACCTCACTCATGCCCTGAAGTCAGTGGTACTGCTCATCTGAATAAGGCAAGTAGGATTTGTCCCCCCAGGAGTGCTGGGTTTCTGGGGTTGTGTGAAAAAGCAGTGATAACAGTTAAAGATGACACATAAATGCATATAATGCTTGAGTCTGATCTCACACCAGTTTTATGCCGCTGTAAGGGTAGCTGTTTGAAATACAGCATAATAGGCAAGTTTGAGCTAATATCGCTATAGTGCGAGTATTTTAACACTGGCCCAAAACAGACTTCACAATCTGATATAGCCATATCCCAAACTGTCACACTCAACAACAAGCATTTCTCATTAGAGACAAGGGGAGAACATCTAGGTACTCAGCAATTTTGAATATCAGGCCTAATTTTCAGTGCCTAAATATGGACTTAAGAACCTAACTTTAAGTTCCTATTTTCAAAAATCTTGGAAATTTTAAACTGCTGTGTTGTTATACTGCAGTTTGGGTGAGTTCTGTTCCACTTTGTTAACTTGAAGTTAGGGTTGCAAAGTTTGTTTGTTTTTGTCTGTGAATAATAAAAGAAAGGTAAACCAGAGCTAAAGGGCACATGTCAGCTTGTTAGCTTTCCTGAACTGAACAAAATACATCAGGCTTGATTATTCACTGCCTTACCCTTTGTCTAGTATATCTATAAATTACTGTTGTTATTTTATAATACGTCATTAACATTTTGGTACCAGGGCAGAGTACCGTATATTTTATTGCTTATGGTGTTGACTTGCACCTTTGGCTTCTGTTCTGAAAGTCAGAGGCACTTGATAGGTTGGAACTGAACCATCCAAGCCATATAGCTCAGCAACTACGTTAGGTGTTTCTTCAGAAATCTCCCATCCAAATTCTTACCAGGCCTGAATCTGTTTAGCTTCTGAGAAACTGGTGAGGTCACAACCCCTAGTGAAATAGCTGTATTTGTTTCCTGCTCATAGAATCATTTATGGAAAAAATCCAACTAGCTCATCCAGTCCATCACACTGCCGGTTCAGGATGCCACCCTGCAATACATCTTCTGGTACTTTGTCCTATCTAGATTTAAGTGTCCCCAGATGATGAGGTTTCACTGTATGTTACACAACTTAATACACTTGTCTGTCAAGATTTTTTTCCCATTCAGTTTAAACTCTCCCTTTTTCAGAGACACATCTATAGTCTTGTACACCCAGGTGTTAAAAGAAAGAATTCTTCTCCTGGCAGTATCATAGCCAATGAGGTTAATCCGAGGTGTGATTATTGCTAGTTGAAAACTATTCCTCTGCTTTCTGTCAAATAGGTGTCAGCTGCTTTCTTGTCCCTACTTAGCTGCTGTTTAGCCAATCTATACATACTGGGTGAAATTCTTCACTGGGTTACACCCTTGAAAATCCAGAGAAATTCCATAGATTTTGGCAAAGTCAGTCCTGACTTAAACTAGTGTAACCGAGAGCAAAATCCGGCTCACTTTATGAATCTCCTTTATAAATCAATCCCTCCACCCTGCTGATAATCTTTGTTGATCTTATCTGAACTGCACCTAGTTTGTCAATATCTTTCTAGCAATGAAGTTCTCAGAACTGAACACAATATTTCAGGCACAGGCACGTAGAGCTACATAGAGGGGAAATATCACCTCTTTGTTTCATTAGGATTTTCTCTTTGCACCCTAAACTTGTACTGACCATTTCACAGCAGCCATATAGTATTACAAACTGAAATGTAGTTTGCTGTCCTCTTTCACCCCATTCAGCATTGCTGCTTCCTATATACTCCCACTGAATATATGTGTTTGAGATTACTTTTCCCTAGGGAAACAATAGGCATTTATTCAAGTTGATGGCTATTTCGCTATACTCTGGCCATTTTTATAATTTTTCTCTGACCCCCCCTCCGTATCATCTCTTTGCACTCGGTGGTGTTCTTGGCTCCAGTATTTGAACAACTGCCTTACCTTGACATCAGGTCAGCATGCCTGGAATTTTATTCTTGTTAACAAATTTTCTGTTGAATGTTAGTGCTTAGGAAAGATGCTGAATTTACAGTCATGGGGATTAAAGTCTTCTCTTTATCCATATAGTAAGTACCACATGGGCCACAGGAGCACCAGTGTCCTTACCCTCCCCTGCCAATCAGCTTTTCCCTGCCTACTGCATGGAAAGCCAAGGGTGAAGGGTATTTCAGTTTCCCTGTTCAATCAATTATTGCAATTGTTACTGTGACGGGTTGGATCACAGGAACCCCCTTGGGAGCTG